TGGTGACTAGCTAAAAGCACCTGAAGGTCAATTCTGGGCTACAAGCAATCCTAATCACTCATATGGCTCTTGTAGTCCCCCCCTTCTAGCCCAGGTAGATCTCAACAACCTTCATCCCTAGATCATTTCTCTCACTAGGAATCACCTCAACAAGACAGAGCTAGTCAAGCTTCTCAGAGGAACCAAATCATCATACACCCTGTGGAATCTAATCACACTCTGAAGTCCTCTATCAAAGGCTCTTCTTCCAGCTCCCCTAATGATCTGCCTAAATCCACAAACATTTCTAAGCAGATTGTCAATGTTGATCAGCACAACAAACCCATGGAGATTGAAACCTCGACCCTTCCTATTGTTTTGAAATCTCCTAGTTCAGTCTCAGACAAAGGCAAAGGGAATATGAAAACATGGACAAGGTCCAACACCAAAGAAGGCAGGCTCCTGAGGCAAGATCTGACTATTTCTCCCCATAAGACTCAACCGATTGGGAAGAGGAGTAGGCCAGCTCAAGATGAAAGTGATGAGATTGGGGAGGAACTTTGTTCCCAAATTTCTGACAATAAAAAGATGAAAGTAACTAATGAAGAGGTGGGGGTGGCCAGCCTAGAATGGCACCCGAGTTCTCAATGTTAGCTGCGGTGTGGAACTGTAGAGGGCTGGGTGGGCCCTCTACAGTTTCCCAAATCAGAGAGACCATGAGGTCTCATCACCCTGTTTTTTTCTTTCTTTCTGAAACTAAAAAATCGAATGCTTTTGTTAAGTCTGTTGTTAGGAAGTTAGGTTTTGAGGATAGATTTTCCTTGGTAGATCCTCAAGGCTTAAGGGGAGGGCTTTGTCTGTTGTGGGACTCTTCTGTAAATATTATTCAAGTAGTTTGCTCTTCTTTTTTTATTGCTGTTCACTTCAATTTGCCTGCTTCTGAACCCCAATGGGGGATATTTGTGTATCTTAGCACTTGTAGACTCCAAAGGGCTTCACAATGGGCAATGTTAGAATCTGAAAGCAGTAGCTGGGGATCCTCTTGGTTTGTTGCAGGAGATTGGAACGATATTTGTTCCAGTGAAGAGAAAGCATGAGGAGTTACTAGATCAAATAGCAGCTTCCAGGGATTCAATACTTTCATTAACTCAATGGGGATGGAAGAAATCAGGATGATGGGCTATCAATACACTTGGTGCAACAATAGAGGCTCAGAAGACATTGTGGAAGAAAAGCTTGATAGAGCTTTTGGCTCTATTTAGTGGATGCAGACTTTTCCTAATGCCAAGACTCTCAATCTGGTAGCTTGCTCCTCTGACCACTCAATCATTTTAGTGGATCCTGGTATCCAAAAAGAGAGGAGAACCAGAAGGTTTCAATTTGACAAAAGGTGGATTGGCAAAACCGGTTTATCTGAGGTGGTGACCCAAGCTTGGCTTACACCACTAACAGGAACACCATTCTATCAACTCAAGGAAAAGGTTAAGCAGACCAGAGTGGCTCTTTTGAAATGGAGTTCTCAATTTCATACTCAGAATCAACTCCAACTAGCTGCTCTTACCAAAAAGCTAGAAGAACTCAGGGAGGATAAGTCAGAGTCTAAATGGGATGACTGGAATAACACAAGAAAAGATCTGGACAAAGCTCATCATCAAGAAGCTCTGTATTGGCAACAAACTTCCAGAATACACTGGCTTAAGCATGGTGACAGCAATTCTAAATTCTTCCACGCTTACACTCTGCACAGAAGAAGAATGAATGCCATTACTCGGCTTGTCAACTCCAGAGGGGAGGAACTCACTAGCCAGAGGGACATCCAAAACCATATTTCAGAATTCTATAACTCCCTCTTCTCATCAGAAGGATCTTGGGGAGGGGATTCACTGCTGCAACTTATCACTCCATCCATTACTCAAGATATGAACCAAAATCTTCTGCTACCTGTGGAAGAGGAAGAGATCAAGTCAGCTCTTTTCAGTCTACATCCTGATAAATCACCAGGAGAAGATGGTATGAATGCTCTTTTCTACCAGCACTTCTGAAACTTGATTAAATCAGACTTCATTTCTGCAGTCTTGAGTTTCTTTCATTCTGGTCAATTACTTCAATACTGGAACCACACCATTCTCTCTTTGATTCCTAAGTGTGCTTCTCCTGATTCTATCTGTAAGTTCAGACCTATTAGCCTCTGCACAGTGGTTTACAAAGTTATTTCTAAAGTTCTTGCTCAAAGATTGAAAGTCTGTTTAGATGGCTGCATTAGTGGATTCCAGTCAGCATTTATTCAGGGCAGACAACTCTTAGATAATGTCATAATAGCCCAAGAAGCTTTTCACTATCTTAACAGGCATTCTTCTGGTAAGAACTACTTTATGGCTCTGAAGCTTGACATTATGAAAGCTTTTGATAGATTGGAGTAGGTTTGCATTAAAAAGATTATGCTTCAGATGGGGTTTCATGCTGATTTTATCAAGCTTCTGATGGCCTGCATATCAACCACCTCCATTTCCTTTAAAATTAATGGTAATATGATTTTATCAAGCTTCTGATGGCCTGCATATCAACCACCTCCATTTCCTTTAAAATTAATGGTAATATCTGTGGACTGGTCTCTCCCACTAGAGGAATTAGACAGGGTGATCCCCTTTCACCCTATCTCTTCATTATAGTTTCTGAACTTCTATCTGCTCTTATTCTTGATGCTACCAACTCTGGTCTTCTCAAGGGATTAAAATTATCTCAGTCTGGACCTCCCATATCTCATCTATTGTTTGCAGACGACTCCATTTTATTCTGTAAAGCAGGTATGGATCAGGCTGGTGTTCTTTTGGACTTGCTGAATAGATATAGATTGTTTACTGGTCAGACAGTAAATTTGGTCAAGTCTGCCATTTTTTTCAGCAGAAACACACTTGTCCACCTTCAAGAAACTATTTGTGCTACCCTACAAGACATTAAAACACACAGATCAACAAGGTACTTGGGGCTACCCCTTGGCATTGGCAAGTCAAAAAAGGAAGTCTTTGCATACCTCGTTGAGTCCACTAAGAGTAAGCTGCAGAACTGGAAAGCCAAGTTACTATCTTCAGCAGGCAAGGCTGTGCTTTTGAAATCAGTTTTGCAGGCTCTTCCCATCTTCACTATGTCCTGTTTTAAGCTTCCAGTCTCCATATGTTCCTCTCTGGCCAGTCTTTGTGCTCAATTTTGGTGGCAATCTAACTCTGAGGAGGCCAAAGGTATTCATTGGAAAAGTTGGGCAAAGATCACTACTCCTAAACAAGATGGTGAATTGGGCTTCTTGGACTTAAAGTTATTTAATGAAGCTTTGATCTGCAAACAGCTCTGGAGGATCACATCTCAACCAGAATTGCTTGTGAGTAGAGTTCTAAAGGAGAGGTACTTCCCAAATTCCTCTATTTTTCATGCCTCTAAAACTCAGAATGGATCTTGGCTTTGAAATTGTTGGATGGATGTTCTTCCTCTCTTCACTAAAGGGTTACAGATTGAGGTTAGAGATGGTGTTAAAACTGGAATTGATGATTTGAACTGGGCTCCCAATCTTTCTAAGGCAAAACCTGTTTTGATTGAAATTGCCAAAGATCATCTTATATTTGTTAAAGATTTAATGCTTCCCTCTGGTTTAGATTGGAATGATTGGCTTGTTAAACAAGTTTTTGATGCTGAGGATAGTGCTGCTATATTGAGTATTAAAACTTTGAGGCCAGATAGACTAGATAGAATTCTTTGGAGTCTTGCTAAAAAAGGTCAATTCTCAGTGGCTCTACATATTCATTCGTGCAGCAGAAACTCCTTCTCATGGATATACCTGAATGTAGCAACAGATCTAACTCATGGAAGCTGACTCTGAAAAGAACCTGGTCTCTGAAAGTGCAAATGAAGCTTAAAACTTTTCTGTGGAAATGCCTCACAGGATCCTTGCCTGTCTTGACTAACCTGAAAAAGAGAGGAATGCATATAGATGTCATTTGCAGGTGTTGTGGAGAATTGCCTGAAACTCTTGAACATATCTTGCTGAGCTGTCCCAGAGCTTGTAGAACTTGGGAGTTAGCACCTGTCTCTTGGCTTGGCATCTCCCAGTTCAATCACTCTTTCAGAACCTGGTGGCAGTTTATCTGCTCTACTGCTCACTCCAAAATTGATGAACACAGAATCCAGTTGTCTACATACCTTCTATGGTGGCTCTGGAAAACCAGAAACCAGTGGATTTTTCAAGGCTCTCTTCCTCCACCTCAGATTGTTGTTAAAGCTGCACATTCTGATTGGTTGGAGTACTCATCTCTCTCTCACGGCTGTTAGATTTTATATTATGTTCTTTTCCTTTTATTTGGTTTGTTTCTTTAGTGGTAGTATGGGCAGGTAATTTGCTAGGCTTTGCAGCAGTGGTGATTGTTTGCTCTTTTTTCGTTTCTCTTTCGTTTCTTGTTGAGGCTCTAGGTCATCTTGCTAGATGCACCTCCCATGTTGTTTTTTTAGTTGGAACTTGATTGTATTCGAGCTTTGCTCGCTTTTGATTAATAGTTATTTCTATCGTCGCGGGAAAAAAAAAACAATAACAAAAATTCCTCTTAAACCCATTTGTAGACGTGGCTAGGTGTCGGTTCTCGGTCCGGCCTGCCGGGCCACGGGCACTCCAACACATGACCCCCGACCGGCCCGCCTAAAAACCAAGGGTCGGTTCACAGCACCGGCCCGAACCGCCAGTTCACGGGCCGATTCAGCTCTTACAAAAAAAAACTTTAACAAGGTGACCCGTCGTCCGACCCGGCCCGAACCGGCGGGACAAAAAAAAAAGAATTCGGACTAAACCGCGGTCCTACGGGTCCCAGTTCAACGAACCGGCCCTTAAGAGGCCGATTCGGGCTAGTGCCAATTCGCGGGTCGGGCCACTAGCCGGTTCGGCACGCGGCCATGTCTCCCATTTGGAAGATGCATTTCCATTTTGGGACGAAGCCTTCCCTTGGGCATAATCACGACTCGATTCAATCAAAAGTAACACTGATATGTGGCATAGATCAGCGTCTTTCATCCTCGATAAACATCACCTCCAACAAAGCGACACCGTATCAGCCTCCGACAGCCGCCCCCTCTCCCCCGCCTCTACCGCCATGGCAGCTGAAAACCCCAACCCTAAGATCTCCCTCTACTATCAGACCCGCGCCGCGCACCACGGCGTCGTCACGAGCGACTGGCTGGAGCAGGCGCAGGCCGCCGCGGAAGGCCAAAGGCCCGAAGACGCCGTCTCCGGGAATTATTTATCTGGAAGTGAGGAGGAGAGTGGGGGATTTAACGTGGTGGATGAATTTAATAATTGGAGGAAGCAGCCGGATTTGGCGGAGGCTGTGGCGGCGATAAGGTCTCTGGCCTCCGTTATTCGATCGAGTCAAGCTACGACGATGATGGAGCTCGAGATTGAGCTCAAGAAAGCCGCTGATTTACTCAAAGTAAGTGAATTCTTTTTTCTTGTTTGAGCTACTGTTTGAAGCGTTAAGGTGCCTTAACAGCCTGAATTGAGCTTGGTGAAAAATGTGAAAAATGCAATTGAAAGAAATTTTTTTATTCTAGGGGTTCAGATCACAAGGTGTAAATCAGGGCAGTGAAAAGGTCTAGTATCAGGGAATAGCATTTGAAGTAATTTGAGGTATTGGAATGCATACATTGTAGTAATGCTTTCCAGCTGAAGTGAAGGTGATGCAAACAAAATCTGTGAATGTTTCGAAGTAGATAGAAACCTGCAGAATCCTGATTTTTATGTAATTAAGTTTTTCGAGAACGAGAAGGTGAGCCCTTTTAGGCCTTACAAAATAAGATGTGAACACTTGATGTGTTTCTATTAATTAAGAAAAAAATGGATTTGAACTGGAACTTTATGCATATACCATATAAACAGGATGTTGTAAGTGTTACAGCTCCTGCATTATGGGATAAAAAATTTTCATTTTTATTTCTAAACTTTATAGTACAAGTTGGTCTTTTAATAATTCTTAGTTCCTGTTTATCTTTAATGTGCAACAAGTTGAACTGAGGGGTTAGACAGTCTTGAGGTGATGAAGAACAAAATAAACCTGAAGAATCGGATGTTGTATAATAGATTATATAAGATTGTTCCTCAAAAAATGTAGACAATAACCTCAGTCAGCCAAGAATATAATGGTTAGTGTCCTAGTGATAACGTGATTACATGGGTTTGGATGTCATTAATGAACCAGAGATGATATAGTTAAGTATTAAACAATGTAACAGTAGTATATAGTGTAGGGTTCTAAAAATAAACAAGTCCTAGTGTGAGAATTGTATAGGATGCTATTTTTACTTGTATATAATGTTGTTTTTAATATCATATGGTGCTACCATTTGCACAGATATTATTACATATGTCGTTTTTTTTTTAATCCATCCTAATTAAAAATATCACTAAACACAATTAAAAATAGAGATCTCATGGTTCTTACACTAGGGGTTGGTTCTTAGTTGAACCATATCCTATGTGTGTGTGTGTGTGTGTGTGTGTGTGTATATATATATATATATATACAGCTTATGCAAACTCTATTTAGATAGTTAACAAAACTTGATAGGAGATCCAGTTATGCATACGAATATGTTTGCTACGAACTTTCATGATTTCCTTTGCCTTTTCTGTAGCATGATGGCTGACCAAGCAATGATGAATCAACCATTTTATTGAAGAAGCTGTAAATAACTAATGAGCTGATTTATGAACACCTTTGTTTTTATGCAGTCATGGGACAGTACCTCTATCTCTTTAACAGCTGGATGTGATCTGTTCATGCGCTATGTGACAAGAACATCGGCTTTGGAATATGAAGATTTCAATTCAGCTAAGTCTCGCCTTATTGAACGTGCTGAGAAGTTCGGTGAGATATCATATAAGGTATTGATTGGCTCAAAATTTGGTTCCTCCAATGCTTCCCTGTCTCCATTTTTGTATTCACATTTCAAAGTAATTGACATCTGTTAGCTGATTCTCCTCATGTCAGGCTCGGAAAATAATTGCAATGCTAGGCCAAGACTTTATTTTGGATGGTTGTACTATTTTAGTTCATGGCTTCTCTCGAGTTGTTTTAGAAATATTGAGAACTGCTGCACACAATAAAAAGAATTTTCGAGTTTTCTGCACAGGTACGCATGTCAATGTTAATCTGATTACGTAACTGGAGTCAATAGAATAAAATTGTCCCAATAATGCAATCGAAAAAATGTTAATTACAGATTACTTACTATATATATAAATATATATTATAGGTATTAAGTTGCATGCACATCTATTAGTCTTTGAAATGTGAATGCGACCCTTTGAGAAAAATATTATGTGATAGTAGGATTCTCTGTTAATTCAACTGATGAAATATGTCAACGAGTACACCGTTGTTCCTACTTTTAGTCGTATCCATTGACACACGGAGTACTAGCATCTTTATATCCAGTCCATTATTTAACTCATTGGCAATGTGATATTAATTTAGATGTGCACAAAATGCAGAGGGGAGGCCGGACAGGACGGGACTTAGGTTATCCAATGAGCTTGCTAAGCTTGATGTTCCTGTTAAGCTGTTGATAGACTCTGCTGTGGCTTATAGCATGGATGAAGTTGATATGGTGTTCGTAGGAGCAGATGGAGTGCTTGAAAGTGGTGGTATTATAAATATGATGGGCACCTACCAAATTGCTTTGGTTGCTAAAAGCATGAACAAACCAGTTTATGTCGCTGCCGAGAGCTACAAGGTAATGGATACTGATCTTTCTTTCCCCACTTCTATTCGGTTGTCGTGAAGTTCTATAAGAAACCTCTTTAATGTAAAATGCCATTAAATCTCCTTGGTCTGCTGATTCATGACTTGGCATCTGAATATATGATTGGGTTAGGAAATGTTTGCAAAGACTTCAGATAGTTTTTTTTGCTGAAAAGCAAAAAAATAGTTGTTTTGTGGTTTTGAAAAAATAATAGAAACACCAGAAACTCCTACCCTTCCATAACTTTTCACTTGTACACTAATTAAATAGCACCCTCTAGTGAAGTTTCGACAATCTGTTTCAAAATGCTGCACCTATTGCTTGGTGTCTGATTCTGTGATAACGAAGTTGAGTAAAAAACATCTGAATTGAAAAGGTCACTAATAATCTCCACAACTTGTCTTTCATGATTTTATCTTTGCATCTTTGGAATTTCTGATCATATTACGTTCAAAATATATTTAAAAAATGCACTTGAAGATTTAACCTGATTAAATTAAAAGATAAAGGAAAAGACAAACAAACAACCTGCTAACTTTCAAATTTATAAAATTATCTCTTATATACTTGCATCTTAAATTTACCCCTCTTCCTATGCAAACAAGCAATTACTTCCTCTACCCACCTACCAATACTATATTAATGAAATTATTGCAGTTAGCTCGTTAATTTCCAAACCATAGGCATTTTATGTATTTGTGTATCTGTGCATTAGCTGTCGAGGTCAAACCTTGAGGATAACTTGATAGTTAAACCCATAATTGTCCAGATAAGTCGTCAACACTGATGTTTCTCCTCGCAGTTTGCTCGTCTGTATCCATTGGATCAAAAAGACATGGTTCCTGCCTTGCGCCCGATCGATTTCGGGGTACCTATCCCATCAAAGGTTGAGGTTGAGACATCAGCTCGGGATTATACTCCGCCACAGTACCTCACCTTGCTTTTTACAGATTTAGGTGTCCTAACACCGTCAGTAGTAAGTGACGAGCTCATCCAACTATACTTATAAGGCTACAAGAAGGTCTGCTTTTCTAAACTTCTTTGGCATTGCTAAAGCATAGCACCACCACTCAAAGCTACATCACAACTTTGACATGTATGGCAATATATGTGCGTGGTATTCTATTGTATTTGATTTCGTGATTATGCGGTTATCATTTGTGACAAATGAATCTCTCCTCAAATTTTTGCGCCGCGATTTTGTGTTAACTCAGTTTATTCTGTACGTTTTGATGAAATTTTGGGACACTATCTGTAATATCCCGAGATATTATCAGTATAAATTATGTTTAATTCCGATATAGTAGCGTTATCGTTTATTATTTTCGGAATTAATTAAGTTCAGTCGGATTACCGAAATCTATTTTCGGCGTACCGTTTACGTCCGAAATAATTTTGGTAATTAAGTATTATATTTAATTTAACAATTAAACATAAGGCAAGTGATTAATTAACATTAATCACATTAATTAGCCTTAAAAACCCTAAATGCCGTAAGTAAAGATTAATTTTCCCAAAATTTTTTCAAGTTAAAACCGAGAGTTCCCTTAAGCTTAAGAAAGGCTTATTAGCCAATGAAATCAAGCAATTTGTCAAGGCATGAAGTGGCTTAGTCATCCTTAGATGTATGAGAGTTAAGCAAGTGGAGGTAGCATATTAAGCCACATCCTCAAGACGTGGCCATCACCCTCACGGTACAAGTATATAAGCGATCCCTTGGTCCAAATTTTGGCCACTTTTCCTTAAGCATAATTCAGCAAGCCTTAGTCCTTCTACCAACAGCAAAATCATCCTTCATTTTCCCAAAAGTTCAACGCAATCGCACGGCGAGACAAGCTTACCGCACGGCGCGAGAGCAAGCAAGGAAGCACGCCCTTTCTCCGATTTCCGTCGAGCGATCGTTAAGGTATCTTCCTTCCCATATTAGAATCATGCTAATAAGTCGAGTTTAGAGTTATTTGTGCGGAGGATTTTCAGAAATTTATAAGAAATTCTTGTTCAAACCGTAGTTAAGTCCACGCATGTCATCACCGAACAAAGTTCGATTCTCTCCGACAACTTTCGAACCAAAGTCATTTATATGATCAGTTTAGTTGTTTTAAGTTCAGCATGATCGGTTTTGTTGAGTTAAAATGAAGAACAGCCGATGAAATGGCCCCAGCCGGCGCCCCCGCGCCTATCGCGCGTAGTTGCGGGTAGCCAAGGGCCGAGGCTTGATACTTCTAGTATTTAGCGTAACTGTTCGTGTGATTAGTCCTTATATTGCTTCAGATTTATATTCATGTTGAAGTATTGGGTAGTTGTCGGATGATAAGTGAGATTGGCCGAGGGACGGCACATAGCCGTCGGCGGCATTCGAATAATCGCCGCGGCCCTTGTATGTTCAACATGTGTTTGGTGTATTTTCAGGTCATGTTCGATCAAATTATTTATATTAAGTTCAGTACAGTTAGATCGGTCGGGTTGTTTACCCTTTTGGTCGAGAGGCGGCCGACGGCCATAGCTTCGCATGTA